CATAATTAAAATGCCAAGAGCAAAAGACAAAGAGAGAATCTTAAAAGCAGCAAGAGAAAGAGACTCAATTACCTACAAGGGAATACCCATACGACTGTCAGCTGATTTCTCAACAGAAACTTGGCAGGCCAGAAGGGAATGGCAAGAAATATTCAAAGTGATGAATACCAAGAACCTACAACCAAGATTACTTTATCCAGCAAAGCTATCATTCAGAATTGAAGGTCAGATAAAGAGCTTCACAGATAAGGAAAAGCTAAAGGAGTTCATCACCACTAAACCAGTATTATACGAAATGCTGAAAGGTATCCTTTAAGAAGAGGAAGAAGAAAAAGGTAAAGATACAAATTGTGAACAACAAACATGCATCTATCAACAAGTGAATCTAAGAACCAAGTGAATAAATAATCTGATGTACAGAATGAACTGGTGATTATAATGAATCAGGGACATAGAAAGGGAATGGACTGACTATTCTTGGGGGGGAAAGGGGAATGGGAGATGCGGGAAGAAACTGGACAAAAATCGTGCACCTATGGATGAGGACAGTGGGTGGGGAGTGAGGGCGGAGGGTGGGGCGGGAACTGGGAGGAGGGGAGTCAGGGGGGGGAAAAAAAGAGGAACAAATGTAACCTGAACAAAAAAGATTTAATTAAAAAAAAAAAAAAAAACTGAAAAAAAAAACCCGGAAAAAAAAATTATTGTGGCCACACCGGTTGAAAATCAATGGAGAGTTCAGAAATGGACCTAAACATATAGAACAAATCACTTTTTGACCAAGACATCAAGTAAATTGAACAGGGAAAGGGAAGTTTTTTTTAAAAAATGGTCTGGAACAACCAAATATCCGTCCAGGACAAAAGGAACCCTGACTCCCTCTCACTTCATACACAAGAATACATTTGAGATGGAACATAGACATAAGTGTAAACCCCAGAACATAGAACTTCTACAAGAAAACGTAGGAGGCTATCTTTGCGATGGGGGTAGGTGAAGATTTCTTGGGGAGGACACAAGCACAGACCATTTTTTAAAACTGCCAAGTTGGGCTTCATAAAAACTTTAAATTTCTGGTCATCAGAGACGCCATTAAGAAAACGAGTGGACGAGCTACAGACTGGGAAAAAACATTCACCGTACATACATCTGACCAAGGACTCATGTCTTGACTCTATTGAAGAACACGAAAAGTCAGCGATAACAGTAACCCAATAAAAAACGGTCAAAAGATTAAACACCTGCAAGAAGATATGCAAATGTCCAGCAAGCCCTTTAGTCACCAGGATATGCAGAATGTAACCACAACGAGGTATACCATTCCACAGCCATGAGGACGCAGGGTCAGGCAGACTGACAGCAGGGACGTGGGCACGGACAGAGCGCCAGCAGCCTCAGACCCGCTGGCGGGAGTGCAGATCGTCCGGGGACTTCGGAGAACGCTCCGACAGCTTCTTATACAGCTAAGTCTATATCAGCCCGAAGGCCCATCATCCACTCCTAGGTGTTTGCCCAAGAGAAATGGAGATATATACTCACAAAAAGATTTGTACAAGAATGTTCACAGCAGCCCTAATTTTTTTCTTTTTCTTTTTTTTAATCCTCACCCGAGGATATTTTTCCATTGATTTTTAGAGAGAGTGGAAGAGAGAGGGAAAGACAGAAAGAAATGTTGATGGATCGATGGGTTGCCTCTTGCATGCGCCCCGACCAGGGCCCAGACTGGGGAGGAGCCAGCAACTGAGATGCGTGCCCTTGACCAGAATCAAATCAGGGACCCTTCCTTCAGTCCGCAGGCTGACGCGCTATCCACTGAGCCAAACCAGCCAGGGCCACAGCAGCCCCCTTTCTAATAGCCCCAAATGGAAAGCAACCCAAATGACTGACAACTGAAAAAGAGGTAAACAAATCGTGGTATATTCATACAATGGAAGACGTAGCAATTAAACAAAACAAAGCATGGATGCCTGCAACAGCAGGAGTTAAACTTACAGACCTTATGCCGAGTGAATGAAGCAGAACATAAAGAAATGCCGATTGCACAATTCACACAGACCCACGCCTCCTTGCCTGGGGCTGGGGCTGGCTCCGCTCTTGGGGACGGCAGAGTTGTTGTCTGCTGGACCCCCAGTGCCTACGACAGCGCCTGGCACAAGGCAGCGAGGAGCTGTCCAATGCATGAGCCAGAGAGGGAGGCCGCCTCTGGTGTGTGCTGCCCAGTATGGTTCTGGCCGAGGGCCCTGCCCGGTTGTCACAGCCAAGACACCGGTGCCCAGAGATGGCAGCTCTTTTTACAGAGCGGGCCTGGGTGACACTGTCCCTGTCCGGCCCAGGGGTGCCACAGTGACACGGAGAGCCATCGAACACAAGGACAGGCGGTCCCGGGCTGCCCGTGGGAGCCGGGCTCCATAACTCCCACCCAAGCCCAGGGGCGGTGCAGGCGCATGGCTGCATCCACCTCAGAGCGCCAGGGAGTCGCCCGGGGGTTTGTGTAGGTGGGTACACAGTTTCCGCTGGTAAAATTGTTTCCCATTTCAACCTGATAACCAAACTGATGAGTATTTAATGGTGTCCCACAAAGAGCACCCTGAGTTTTAGGGTCCCCCCCACGTGTTTGAGAACCACGGACTGTCACAATCAGTTGAAATTTCCTTCAGAACCTTCTAAGGCCCCTCACCACCGCCCCTTTGCCCCAACTCCGGCCTTTGGCTTATGTCCCCCATGGATGCCGCGCTCACGCCCCGCTTGGCCACTGTGCTCCCTCGGATGCCCGATCTCCTCCTCCCCCTCTGGCCAAGCCCCGCGCCCCCTTCACAGCGCATTCTTCCCTCCTAGTCCTGAAGCTCTGTTCAGTGCCAGTCCCTGTGCCAGGCCCTCGAGCTGCGGAGAGAAGACCACACCCCAGCAGAGCTCTCAGTCTTGGCAGGGACAGAGGCAGGGAAGTGAAATGTCCTTCTAATCATCACAGCTAAGGGACTCGAAGGGCCTGGGTGCCAGGCGAAGGGTGTGTACGTATCCATTTCACTGAATCCTCATAAGACCCTACACGGCAGTTATTGTGATTGTCTCCATTTCACAGACAGATAAACCGAGGCACAGAGAGGTTATGCAAGAGAGCTCACCCCAGGCCACAAAGCCAGTAACGGTGAGGCTGGGCTTTGAACCCAGTGCTCCTAACTGCCACGTGCTAAGAACAGAGGGGAGCATCTGGTGGGGTCTATGGGGGGAGGGA